GTCTCCAACTCGTGGCCTCAGACAATCCTCCTACCTTGGTCTCTTAAAGCACTAGAACTGTAGATTTGGGCCACTGTGCCTGACTTTTTGATTATTTTTAACAAAAGTGTATTATTATATATACAATTCTAATCAATTGGTTTAACACAAAAGAAATTTGTTTGTCCTAATAGAGTTTGAAAATTAAATGCTGTCAATTATTTAGTAAACAGCTCCTATAATTGGGCTGTGTTTGGGTTTTGCCATAAAGAATTATAACATTTCCTCTATGTCTCTTATGCAACATGCAGCTATTTTGAGGCAGTGCTACATTTTGCAATTTCATCTACAATTTGACATTTGAATTTGTTGACATCATTAAGCTGTGCTGCTATCCTGGCAACAAAAATAGATGTCACGTGAGTTATTGCACACCTGGATCTTCAGAGGAGCAGATGTTGGCTCATTTTGAAGAAATGGAAATGTTAAAGATCACAAAATGAATTCACCCCAGGTAGAGTGCTGCTTACTTTTATGAAATGGATTCATAATCAAACAACTGGAAATGAGCCATCCCACGAACATTGTAGAAATTAGGAAAAAGAAGCATGCTCTGTGTAAACCTAAACATTCAATAACTATATTTTGCTTTGTATAGTGACTAAATAACTTCTAAAGTAAAATGCACAAATACTGAAAAGGGCAATTAAACAAAGTTTACAAGTGTTATATTGTGAGATCAAACATTGATCTCACAATTTACTTATTTTTAATTTCCCAGAATTTACCAATTTATGAAATAACTGTTCTCTGAACTGTACAAGTTCTAAAACGGAAGAAACACAGTATAGCACCCTCATCATTAATTTTATTTATATTTTCAAAGAACCAGCTTTTTGTTTCATTTATGTTATTTTTTGTTTGTTTGTTTCAATTTCATTTAGTTGTACTCTGATCTTGGTTATTTCTTTTCTTCTGCTGTGTCTGGGTTTGGTTCATTCTTGTTTCTCTACTTCCTTGAGGTGTGACCTTAGAGTATTTATTTGTGTGCTTTAAGACTTTTTGATGTAGGCATTTAAGGCTATGAACTTTCCTCTTAGCGCTATCTTTGTTGTATTCCAGAGTTTTTCATGCGTTGTGTCACTATTATCATTCAGTTCAAATAATTTTTTTAATTTCCGTCTTGATTTCTTTGTTGACTCAATGATCATTTAAGAGCGGGTTATTTAATTTTCTTGTATTTGCATGGTTTTGAAGGTTCCTTTTAGATTTGATTCCCAGTTTTGTACCACTGTGGTCAGAGTACCTGATAAAATTTCAATTTTCTTAAATTTATTGAGATTTGTTTTGTCTCAATAGATCATATAGTCTATTTTGGAGAATGTTCCATGTGCTAATGAATAGAATATATATTCCGTGGTTGTTGAGTAAATATTCTGTTAGTATCTATTAAGTCCATTTGTTCTAGGGTGTAGCGAACTGCCATTTTCTAATGCAAGTAAACACACTATAGTAAACTTCACTTATCTGTCAGGAATATGTTTCAAGACCCACAGCGGATGCCTGAAACCACAGCTGTCGCCAAACTCTACATCAACTGTTTTCCTTTTTCTTATACATACATATCTCTGGTAAAGTTTAATTTATAAATTTTTCATAATAAGAGATAAAAAAATAACTAATAGTAACAATATGTCAGCATCACTAATCTTGTACTTTGGAGGCCATTATTAAGTAAAATAAGGGTCACTTGAACACAAGCACTACAACAGTGCATCAGTCTATCTGACAACCAAGAAAAATACTAAGTGATTAATGGGCAGGTAGCATACACAGCTTGAATATGCTGAACAAAAGGATAATTCTCATCCAGGGAAGGATGGACAGGTACAGCGGACATTTCATCATGTTTATCAGAATGCCACACAATTTAAAACTTGTGAATTATACACTTCTGGGATTTTTCATTTTTGGACTCTGTTTGTGGATAACCGAAACCATGAAAAGCAAAACTGTAGATAACAGTAGACTATTGTATTATCCTATGATACAGCTTTCCTCCTAGGTATGTATCAAAAAAGAAATGCAAAAATGTGCCAAAAATGAGTTTTACAAAGATGTACACAAAACTTTTACTCATAATATTGAATGTAGCATCAAGTAAATGTCTGTTAACAAGCGAATACAATACATTTTTAAATGCAGTATACTTGTGCAGTACATTCCTATACAGCAACACAGAAATAATGAGTTATATATATGTATATGTATCAGTATATATAAATATATAAGTATACATAAGTATATATTAGTAAATAAATATATATATTGATACTGATATATACTGATATATATATATAGTCTTCAAAATTCAAAAATAATACGTTGAGCAAAAGAAAGGCAGTCTAAGTGGGTGGATACTATAAATTTCCATTTATATAAAGTACAGGAAAAGCACAAGAAAAACTGATTTTTATTTTGTTTATGGAAATACATAGTTATGTAGAGGTGAGAATTGATAGGGTAAAGACAGTAGAAGGTATTATGGCATAATGGAAATATATTACAGCAGCAGTTACATGAATATGTACATTTGTCAAAATTGCTAACACATACTTCAGATATATATATGTATATTTCACTGAATGTAAATGTTGCCTTCTTTAATACTGTAATTATTGTAATAATTTCCATCCTGTTATATTTTTACTATGCTGCATATATCCCCCCCAAAACAATATGCATGGTATTATTTTGAATACTACATTTTTATGATTGACAGCATAATGCATTTATTCTTCTGCATCTTGCTTTACTCTGTTGCTTTGGGATATTCACTATAAACTGTGTAGCTATAGTTAATTCGTGTATAAATTCCTCTCTATAATTGAACCCAAATTTATTTTCTTTTTTGTTGATAGATATTTTTGTTGTTTTAACTTTTTTTATTAATAAAATCAGTTAAGGTATATTAATATATACATATAATTATGTGTGTATGTATGTGTATATATATCTGCATATGAATAAAAATATTTTAGTTGACTTCATATTTCCAAATTGATTGTTTTTCGAAATGATTGTATCTATTTATATGTACAAGAATAGTGTATGAACGTTTTAGTGCTTTACATTCTCCTGAATCTTATATGTGGTCAAACTTTTAAAATGTTGTCAATCTGCCCTTGTAGCAGTATCAAGAATTATTTAATATTTTGTTGTCCTGTTTTCTGGACTGTCTGTTTACATATTTTTTCTATGTTTTATTTCTTAAAATTTAGCGTTCTTTATTTTGGATGATAATTCTTTAATCCTTATTTACCTTTCAAAGGGCTGCTCCCAATATTGAATTATATTTAGGGGAAATAGCCAGACATTGTCCATCGTCTATACTTCGTTTAAGGTAATCACATAAATCAAGTTATCCTATAGAGAATATTTGGAGAAAATACAGAATTTTTTTTTAAAAAAATCTCTTTTACTCTCTTTTATTTAGATGAGAAGTTGTTTATTAATTTATCTTGGGTTCACTGACACTGTCTAGTTTTCCTCCTCATACTACTATTTTTATTTATTTATTTTTTTGAGATAGAGTCTCACTCTGTCTCCCAGGCTGAAATGCAGTGGTGTGATCTCGGCTCACTGTAACCTTGGCCTCCCGGGTTCAAGCGATTCTCCTTCCTCAGCCTCCTGAGGAACCAGGATTACAGGCTCATACTGCCGTGTCTGGCTAATTTTTGTATTTTCAGTAGAGACGTGATTTCAACATGTTAGTCAGGCTGATCTCACATTCCTGACCTCGTGATCCGCCTGCCTTAGCCTCCCAAAGTGCTGGGATTATAGACGTGAGCCACAGTGTCTGGCCTCTTCATTCTACTATTAAATCCACCCAATAATTTTTGTCTTTAAATATTATATTTTTAAACCACATAATTTTTATTTTTTTAAAAAATATGTTTCTACTGAAAATTCTTATCGTTTAACTTTTTACACATATATTTTCCTTTATTTATATTAACATAATTATCATAGCTGCTTGAAAATTTCAGTCTGCTAGTTTTAGCATGAGCTTCATCTCAGCTGGTTTATCTTGAGTGTCTTTTTTCTTGAGAATGGATCATGTTTTCCTGGTTTTACATATATTAAGTAATTTGGATATTTTCCTGAGCATTGTGAATGTTGTTTTGTAGAGACTCTGAATTTGGTTGTATTCCTTCAGTAACTGTTGTTTTTTTGTCTTGCTGGTTTTATGTGAGTTGGCAATTGAGTTGGTTAGACTCAACCTTCTGTAGCTCAAATCTCACTTCAATTCTTTTATATTTAGTTGGGCTTCTCTGAGTTTGTCTTACCTTTGCATGTTTGAAAGGTTAGCCAGACAGATGGGCAGTTTAAACACAGGTTTGTAGGCTCCTGTCATAGTATCTCTCGTCTCTGAGATTAACTTCATTACATTTTAGTTGTGTGATTATTCCAAATATTTACCTTCTGTTTCTTTAGACAAGAAATTTTGCAAGTTTCTTTTAAGAATTTTTGCCTCCTTGTGCTGTGCTATCTGAAAACCAGCTTTCAGGCTAAAAGCTGTAAACGTAGGAAATTTACCCTGTAACCTTTATTTTTCCCAAGTATTAACCCACTTATAGAATTGATCTGCTTTTGCTCATTCTCTAGTTGTCTTATCTATTTATCCAGAGTTAATAGCTTTCATTTACAAGGCTGTAGTTTTGTAGGAAATTACTCAGCTATACTAAAAGTGGATGGACAACTTTTAATCTTTAATGTGTCACTAAGCATGTCTAGCTTATATTTTGTCATCACTTTCTAGCATAAAAAATAAAAGAATTAAGGCTGGGTGCAGTGGCTCATGCCTGTAATCCCAGCACTTTGGGAAGCTGAGGCAGGTGGATCCCTTGAGGTCAGGAGTTTGCAACGAGCCTGGCCAACATGGTGAAACCCCATATTTACTAAAAATATAAAAATTAGCTGGGCATGGTGGCACGTGCCCGTAGTCCCAGCCACGTGGGAGGCTGAGGCTAGACAATCACTTGAACCCAGAAGGCAGAGGTTGCAGTGAGCTGAGATGGCGCCACTGAACTACAACCTGGACAACAGAGTGAGATCTGTTTCCAAAAAAGAAAAAGAAAGTTAAAGAATTGTTCGATGCTTACTTTTGTAACTCTACTGAAATAGTTGACTTTAAAACTTTATTATTTATTTACTTTTTGGGGGGGATGGAGTTTCGCTGGTTACCCAGGCTGGAGTGCAATGGCGCGATCTTGGCTCACTGCAACCTCTGCTTCCTGGGTTCAGGCAATTCTCCTGCCTCAGCCTCCTGAGTAGCTGGGATTACAGGCACGCGCCACCATGCCCAGCTAATGTTTTGTATTTTTAGTAGAGACGGGGTTTCACCATGTTGGCCAGGATGGTCTCGATCTCTTGACCTCGTGATCCACCCACCTCGGCCTCCCAAAGCGCTGGGATTACAGGCGTGAGCCACCGCACCCCGCAAAACTTTTATTTGGCAATTCTACATGAAAGAGTTAATAAAATATGACTTTAATTTCTTATGTAAATGAAAATTTTAGTTGACACTATAAAAACGGCAACATTATAGAGTAGTTTACCACTTTAATTGTGCCAGGATGATGAAAAAAAGCAGACATAAGCTTAAAATGTAACATATAAGATTCTACCAAATGCGGGTAAAAGCTGTCAGAGTGTGCTGCATAAATATAATTTTTTTAGGTCAAACATTCAATGTGAAAGATAAAATAAAAATAAAAAATAACGCAATTTAGTTTACATTCAAGTCACTTGCAAAATGGTTTGGATTAATTATAACAGAATTTGTGCAACTAAATAATTTCCATATCTAAGTATTTTCCTCAGTTTCGCAATAATAAAAACTAAAATGACATGTTAAATGATAGTTTTGTATCCCCATTATTACTGGATAGGGGTTGTTTGTAAAGAAACAATGGTAAACTTCAAGTGGGTAAGGTTCCTATACAGGCTTATCATGTGATAACTAACTACAATTACATTTTGAGAATTGCTCTTTTGTTATGATTACATATAAGCTTCCATTATTTTGAATTAGCAAACCAAAGTTTGACATTAATTTCAGTCTTAAAACAATGTTAATTCTATTTATTTTATTGATTTCTATATTTGTAAACTTTAAATGTAAAACCAGGCTTTAGATAATCTGTTTTTTTTTTTTTCTGTAAAATGCAACTTCAGTTTATCACCATAAATTAATGCTGCTAATTGAAATATTATTGCTTTTTAGATTTGTTTGTAGTTAATTTGAAAAGCATTTTTTAACATAAAAGCAAAAAGGGTAAGAGTTTTTATATAATTGTATTTCCCCATTCAAAGAACCTTTTATTAATATATTGATATAACTCAACATTAGGATTCTTCAGATATTATTTTTCATTCATAATGGAGACATATTTAAGGATCATTTTCTTTATGAGCTACAGAAAAATCGTAGACGGAAGCCTACCTTCCAATCCCAGCTTTGTCACTCACTAACTGTAAGATGTCAGGTAATGACACAAACCCCCTGTGCTTCAAATTCCTCCCTTGGAAAATTTTAGATAATAATAGTACTGTCCTCTTAGGGTGTTATGAAGACTAAATAAGTGATATTTGCAAAACCCTTAGACAAGTGCCTGACATGTAACACATGTTATCAACACGTTTGAAAATTAAGTATTACTAGTCAAGTAGGAGAAACACATCCCTTACTAGATAATGTCTCTTTGGGAGGCTATGAAAGAGAAGGAAAAGGCAGCATAGGAAAGGGTTACTTTTATCAGAAGAGTTTTGAAATAGGAGGTTTTTATAGACATCCTGGAGAACTGTTAAATCTTAGAGAACACATTAGACAAAAAAGCACTGAAGGTTAAAAAATTTTATCTCTTCCCTAATGTCAGACCAGTTTGCTTTTTGCAGATTGAATCTCTCTAACAGGGATGGTCAATTGCGTTTGTTGTCAGGTAATCTGCAGCACCTGTCTTCTGGTTCTTCCACGGCCCCTTCTCAGGTATTTTTCTTTTGCTGCCTTTGTCTTCCAAATCATGGGGTATTACTAATAATGAGTACTACACCAAGGTTTGGTAGGGCTTCTCATTTAAAATCCCGAAACACCTTAACACTTGGTTTATAGTGTATAGAGGAGACATTATTACATCTTTGAGTCCGGGTAATAAGTCACAGAGAGAGAGCAGAGCACCAGTTCCATCTATTCTGGCCCCTCTGTATTCTCTACAGGACACCTTGAGTTATGTAATCGTTACCTCAAACCATGTCTAGGAAGCAGCTGGCCTTTTCCCAGGAAGACACATTCTTAGCATGTAAGAGTAAAAAGGGAAGTAAGAGAATTTAGTCTTTATAAACTCGTTTGTAAAATTGAGTAAGTTGTGGTAAAAAAATGGCCACTTTGATTTGTTTTAGAGAGATATTTTCATTAAAATGTCTCAAATACCCTTTTAAAATTGGTAAAGATGATAAAAATAAAAAGGGCTCTGATTGACCATACTTTTAGAATGTCTACAGTTAGAAAAGTTCTCACATTAATAGAGAAAAAGTATTGATTTGGAAATATTAACAGCCACTGCGGCAGTAGCGGAGTCAACTGAGAAACCCTAAAACTAGAAATTCCTACATCAAATAGAGAGAATATAGGGAATCTTCTTGTAAGAATGTGTTACTGACTCTTTTATCAGTACTTTCTATTTCTGTCCCGGCAAATCACTTGAGTGCAATATTTATAATGGAATAGTCAATGTCTTTTTTGCTATAGTAGATAAGAACTATATTATTAGGATTGTATAAAAACAAGATAGAGATTATGATTTATATTTATGAATTTGATATATTCATCCAAAAAGGGATCTTTGTAGCAGGAGGAAAAAAAATGAATTTGGGTACCCTAAAAGTCCACACCTTTCATTTTGATTAAAAAAAAAAAAAAACTGAAAATTTTAAAGATATCAAACAGGGCACAGCAATCCTTTTATCTCCACTTTTCTCTTAGAAATGACTATCTCACCAAACTGAAAGCAATCACATCATTACTAATATACTATATTAGTAACCACAATCTAGATGAAAAGCTTTGCTTTGATCCAAATGAAATTTTCCCTTTTGCTATCTGTATTATATTTGTAATTACACTGAAGTTACTATTTGTTTATAATTTACTCATAATACATGATGTAAACTAAGAGGAAATAACTAGCTATGTTACAAACCATTAATTTTCATGGAGAAGGTTGACGCTCTACAGATGTAATTTGCAAGTCAAATATAAGCTTTCTCCCTCTTGGATTCTTTTTTATTTACAGGAAGCCTTGGCTGAATTAATAAATAAACAGTAGCTGAAATATTTCATTTTAATTACTATAAGGTGGCATTTGTAGTGGAATGTTTAACCAAGAGATCTGAGATGCTGTCAGGCAGGGGATTAACACTAAAACAAAGGTCTGAATAAATATGTGGTTTTTTTTCAAACCAAATTCAGTAAACACACTGGGGATCACACTTTGGATAAGATGCTTGCATTTAATGTGAGGTGGTATAGCCAAGCTCTTTGGACTGTGATAAATTGCTCAGCAGGTGTCTTTGGGGTCATGAGACAATAAGGTATTATTCTTCCTTCTGAAACTGTCCAATTCTATTAGTTTCTTAGAAGGGAAACACTTTGGGAAGTAAAATGAAAAGACTGTTGCTTAGAATTACAACACTGCAGGTATTTTATTTAGTACTGACACAAAATTATCACCAAGGTTATTCTTTGAAAGCATGTATACTAATCGTAAAAATAAAAAGCATGCATCTTCTCCTTCAAACATGATAATCAAAAAGTAAGATAACCATTCCATTTGGGATTCTAGTTTTTCTTGTTGTATCAATATTGTATAGGTTCCAAAATTTATGACTAGTCACTTTATTTATATGTTTTTTCAACTTATATTTAGATTCAAAAGCACATGTGCAGGTTTATTACCTGGGTATATTGTGTGATGCTGAGGTTTGGAGTATGAATGATCCTGTCACCCAGGTACTGAACATAGTACCATGTAGTTATTATTTCAGCCTTTACCACCTTCCTCCTTAACCCTTCTAGTAATTCCCAGTCCCACTGTTGTCATTTTTATGCCCACAACTACCCAATGTTTAGCTCCCACTTATAAGTGAGAACATGCAGTATTTGGTTTTCTCCTTTTATACACTTGAAAAAGTGTCCTTCTCTCTTTTTTTTCCTATATTTTTTCTGTGTGTGATCTATGCTGAAACAAAGATACATTTGCCTCATTCTTATGTTTTTTTAATATCATGTTGCATGTGTTCATTCATAAGACATCTATTCTAAAACAATATCTTTGCTCAAAGATTTTCTATGTGCCATCTGCAATTCAAACATAGAAGAGATATGCTTTCTGTCTTCATTGAATTTTCTATTTGGAGAAGTAAGACACGAGAACAATTTTGGATTACAACTGTTTAAAGGTGCTGCAGATAATGACAGAGTAATTCATCAGAAGCAGATATGAATTCAGTTGAACCAATCAAGGAAAGGATATTTATTTGTAATTTTTGGAGTGATGCACAACTGTCCACACCTTCATTCATGTAGCGACATACTGCTGGCATACATATTTAATTTTAGTGTAACCCCACCCTAATTAACAAAGGAAATGTCAAAAGAATCATGACTCCAATCTAGAATTTAAGTAACCTTAAACCAACATTTTCTCCATTCAAACCTCACAAGACTATATAGCTGTCTGTGTATTTTAGACAAAAATAATCTATTAAAATTTTGCATAGGTTTACTTTTCTTTTAATGAGGTCTTGAAGTTCCCACGTTTTAAAATTAAATTGATAGCCAATATTTTTATAATTAACATTGTTTCAGTATCATATTTGGTGGAAGGTATGTGAGATACAAAACTACTAGACAGGAAAGTTCACTTGTTTTTTTATTCAGCTTTTGCATTTTGGACAACGTAGAGAATGACATTTTGGCAATTCTGTGTGCAAAATTTTAA